CGTAAGCAATGCCAGGGGCAAAGCCAAGCCGCTGCCTACCAAACGTCGTCATTCTTATTCTTAGCTGTTTGCACTCTTGTCAAAGTGGTCGTGGTCATCTTTTCCGAGATGATAGTGCGCTTCACAAGACGTCATCATTCCTCACGTACTGCGGCGGCCTTTCTTGTGCACTTGTCGACGGGACCGTTGAGAAGATACCTTTGTTTGATCGGTCCATCGTAACGGTGATCTGTCGGATACAACTAACATTAAAATTTACTTCAATCATTGCACAGCATACTTTTTTTTTTATTGCTTAGATGGGTGGACGAGCTCACAGCCCATCTGGTATTAAGTGGTTACTGGAGCCCATAGACATCTATAACGTAAATCTACCACCCACCTTGAGATATAAGTTCTAAGGTCTCAGTATCGTTACAACGGCTGCCCAACCCTTCAAACCGAAACGCATTACTGCTTCACGGCATAAATAGGCAGGGTGGTGGTACCTAACCGCGTGGACACTCAAGAGGTCCTACCACCAGTAAATGTGCATGTATACATCATATCAGATCCGCATTACTGATAAGAAGCTTGATAAAAATCCCTAAATCTTTTCAACCAAAAAATATAGCACAACATGATTTACAAAGCAACTTTCAGATCATGTAACAAATAAAAACTTAACGAAGTAACGAAGCCACTTAAACAAAGGAGGGCCAACAGTCCGTGACGCTATAAACCAATAAAACATGTATATAAATAAAAATAACTGCCTTATACTAAATAATGTCCAAATACTTGGGATACATAGACTGTATATCAAGCTTGGGGTGGCTTGTCACACCGCCTGAAATATGGCGTCACAGAACATAAAATATACAACAAAAACTGTTGTTCTTCCAACAGTTTTGGCCCATATTAAGAACGAGCACAAACAGAATGTGGATTCGGAATAGGGTTACGGCTTTAACGATGAGTCGCTATTGTTCCTATTTAGTTTTTTTTTTTATATGAGCTTTCCTAAAATTCGACTAGGCAGCCTCGTGATGTATAAAAAATTGGTGGGTGAGTTATTTTAATAAGCAACCTTTTATCACTTTTGTTAGGCAAAAGATCAAACTTTCCTTTGATATTTTTTTTTATTGCCCTTGTAGACAGACGAGCATACGGCCCACTTGATGATGAGTAGTTACCGTCACCCATGGACTTCAGCAATACCAGGAGCAGAGCCAAGTCGCTGCCTACCGCAGAACCTTTGCAGAATCTTTGTTTTCATCACTTGACCCTAACTCTGCTTAAGAGTAATTTTGGACGTGGTTTGTGCTTACCTAGCAGGAATATAGGAATTTTACCTAAAAATAAAACGGTATAAAGTTAATTAATGCAATATTTTATTGTATTTGAAGATAGGTTAAACGTGTATCTGTAAGAGAACCTAAAGAATATTCGAGTAATTCTCATAAATTATGTAACTAATTACTCATGAGATCACCTCAAAGAAAGTAATTGACCTCCGAAAATAAATAATAGTTTCAAAAAACTAACAAAATACGCTTTTATAGAAAATCCCACTAAAAAAGAGAAAATAAATCTTAATAAATTTAAATAAAAAATAGTGTAAGAAAAAATGATTTTATTGTAAAAAAATCGTGGGGTGCATTTGATAATATCCTGAAAAGCTGTTGAAATATTATTTATTTTTCAATTTTTAGTTGAATTTCATTTTTTTCAACAATTTTTTTAATTTTTTTTTAATATTGAATTGTCATTGGTCCTTAAAAAGTATACCAAATGTTGACTTAATCCGACGTTTTGAAGGGGGTCAAAATCATGTTCAAAGATTCCGTTACATACTAATATACATACGTCTGAACCTAATAAAAACGTATTAAAATTATATTTCAACGAAGTCTCCTCGGTTTTTCTTATTCGAAGTCCTCTGCTCCGATTCGAGTGGAGTTCACAGGGTAATTCGTTATTTTTATTGTTTTTTGTTATTATGATTCTGTCCCCCGGATTACGCGGCGTGATGCATGGAGAGGCGCTGGATGCGTTTAATTGCCACGGACGCTTCCATTATGACGATAAATAATAAGATTACGGCACGAATAGAGTAGAGCTTCGCTTGCGTATTGAAAGTTCTTTAGTTAGTGGTTTTTTTCTGGTGGTAGGACCTCTTGTGAGTCCGCGCGGGTAGGTACCACCGTCTGCCTATTTTTGCCGTGAAGCAGTAATGCGTTTCGGTTTGAGGGGCGGGGCAGCCGTTGTAACTAAACTGTGATCTTAGAACTTATATCTCAAGGTGGGTGGCGCATTTACGTTGTAGATGTCCATGGGCCCTCGTAACCACTTAACACCAGGTGGGTTGTGAGCTCGTCCACCATCTAAGCAATAAATAAATAAAAGTTAGTGTATCGTTGGTTCGGGGAATATAAGCCTTATGTATTTACCTATAGACTTTACTTGTAGATAAATGCAGTTAATTTCAAGGTAAGATTTTACGTCTAGCTGGAGCCCCTGGACAGTTCAAGGTGAACGCCCTCGCTCACCACAATCTAAGCATCGAAATATCAGCTGCAATATAGGCTATAAAATTGGCTTTAATTAAACATCATAAAAGCAACTGATTTCTATTAACTATTGATTAATTAAACTGAAAAATTATAAAGCACTCCCGACAGTCGATAGTAATAGTATCTTAATCGTATGCCAGACATGGCTGCTGTCCATGGCCACTGATAGCTACTCGCCGACAGCGTAACCATAGAGTTGTCTAGCTTCAAAAATAAAAAGAATATCAACCGACAAAATATTGACGAATTTATACACTTTTATTTTATTAGAACGAATAATTCCTAACAAAAAAAATTATGAAACAGTTCTTATTCCAAAAGTGAATTTAAAAATACCATTGTTGTTAGAAAGCAGCAACGCTACGTCGTACGTAATACCAGAACTCCTCATTAGGGATGTCGGAATAATTGTAAGTACAATTCGTTCCACAAACATTTTGAAAAAAAAAAAAAAAAAATTTAAAATTTAAAATAATGTTTATTAAGCATATTAAATGTGCTTTTCAAATATTTGTATTAGCTTAGATAGGCAGCTAGTTCACAGCACGTTTGGTGCTACGCTTACTATTCATTAAATTGCAGTCTAGAAATTTGTTCGCGCTTCGCAAACTTTTTTTTTTTATTGCTTGGATGGGTGAACGAGCTCACAGCCCACCTGCTGTTAAGTGGTTACCGGAGCCCATAGACCTCTATATAAACACGGGTATTAACTCTGAAAAACAGGCCATGGGCTGTAAAAAAGATTACCCACGATTTCTCCTCCTTGCGTCGGTTTCCTCATTACTGAGGGTCGTGGTCATGGCCTTGAAACAGATTGTTTTTTATAGTGCACCGCCATCTGTTCCTATCTGCAGCTGAGTGCAGAGCGTCGTGCACTGTGGTATCCAGGGCTGCACGAATCTGGTCCGTCCAACGGGTCGGGTTCCTGCCTCTTAGTCGATGGAATGATTTAGCATGTACGATAAATGACCGTCTCAAGCAAATTCCGATCCATCGAAAACATGCGTCATGGTTTAGATTGCAGATATTTTTGTTATCATTATACCCAATCAAAACAGAGCGGAAGAGGTACTCCAGTACTAACCTGTAGCAGTAGCCTAAGATTCACAAAGAAATGCACGTCCTTTTTGTTCTTACAGTGTGACATTGACAGAGAGAAGATAAAACAAAATGAATCATCGATACGAAATTTCAACTACATTTTTTTTTGTTATTAATTTATTAATCCATTTTTCTACCCGAGTGTACTTCTATATTATAAATCCCGTGTTACACTCATTTCCCAAACGATAATTAAGCTTCAGCCGGTCGTTGTACGCAAGAGGTGCCTTGTTTATTCCTAATATGCTACATTCGCATGATAATAACAAAATAAACTAATACTATTATTATGCACATTGAAATAACGTCTAAAATAGAATGTCTGCTTATGGACACTCATAATATTTGACCCCGGTATGACCTTTCATTTACCATTAGCAACAAATTAAAGACATGCATAAAAATGTGAACACTCGTGAACATACTTAATACGCGATAATTTCGTGAACTCTTGCGTGTTCATATTTCTATTCAGACTAATCAGATTATTTCTAAAAAACTGTAAACTTTACTGGTAAGTACGCCGTCTTGAATCTGTGACCTCCAGCTTAAGAAGTGTGCCCCTAAAGAGCGCACTGATCGCTCTGGTATTAAATAGGTATTATACATACATGTGCTAATAAGAAGCGGCCATATGCCTACCGTCCCAAGGCGACAGTTAAAAAAACGCATAACAAACCATGAACATTACAAAGTAAATGCTGCTATTTATCTTGAGAAATTAGATCGAAACGTAATTCAAATACGGCAATGGGTGTCTTCCCTTTCAAGCCAAATTACAAACATAATCTGACAGAAGTTCATAAATATATACTAAATACAGCCTAGCGTCTCCTACAAATGACTTCTTGCAACAATAAAACACTAGACTATTATAAACAGTTATGAGAAATAAATTATCTAATCAATAACAAAAACGTTTTACAAAAAAAAATACATTAACTTTTCCAAAAACCTCGGTAATTAAGATAAATTTTTCTTAAAATTCAATTCAAGTTAACAGGTTCCAAACAAATCATTAATGTTATTATAGTTAACAAAACAAATGCACCTAATTGCTACTATCTACTTAATTACTACTACCTACTAAGTGCTAATTTAACTTAAGCATTTCTTCAGAAATAATACATTTACTCAGAAAAAGACAAAGATACAATACCAAGTAGGGGCGAACGAGACAAAACATCAATAATATCTCGAGATTCTTAAAAGCAGTCAGTAGTCGTTCTAAAGATGTCATTGTAGAATGTGTTCTGCGGTTTATAACATACATAAACTAACATTACTCTAAAACATTCGTCAGTCACGGGCGAGTAGTCACGACGTTAACGTGTCAACGTTAGAATGGGTACAAAACTACTAGACTTGGAAACCATCCTGCTCCGTAACGAGCAATGGATGAAACTCGAAGAAGACTGGAAGCCGGTGGACCTGGATGAAGACAGGACAGAGGAAGACAACGAACCGGCTATGACGACAATGCTCAGCGCTTTGGACTTGAAGAAAACTACATTTGATTCTGCGCAGCTGTTGAAAAAAGTGCGAAGGAAAGTCGCGAGACAGCTATCTGATAAATCGATTATCGACTATAATGATTTTATACGCAATCTCCAGAATAACGAGGCGAACGATCAACAGTTTTTCTTTGTAAACGGCCAAATAATCTCCGCTGTCTCAATCGAAGAAATATGCAGAGAAATTGACGATATCTTTAAATCGATTGACAGACTGGCTTCAGCTACAAGCACCCTGAGGAACCGTAAGCCGGACGTAGTACAGTGCAGCATCTCAACCGGAGAATTAAGTTTTGACGATACTATAGACCAGATAGACGAAGAAAAAATAGACCAGTGTATAGAAGAAGCTTTCGAAGAGTTGAGTGGAAGTTTCACAAGTGTGTGCCAGAATGAAAACAGCCAGGAATCAGTGACGACTCTAGTCAAAAGGTTTACTTCTCTATTGAACAGTCCGACAGTACAGTGCGGTCCTCGACGCCAAAGGCAGTGTTGCAGCAGATTCCAGGAGTTGGCAGATTTTTGGAATAATCGCGCTTTTCACGAACTTTCTTAATTTAAGTGGGTACTTTGAGATTTTTTATTAAATAGATAAACTTCTGTAATATTATATTTTTGCTTGTCTCATAGGTTATTAAGTAAAATGAAATGAATAATTTTTTTATTACATTTTTGACCACCTAATTTTTTAATTAATACAATTTAAATTATTTATTAGTATTAGATTTATGACATGACCTTAATATAGTTTTGGTAAATATTGTTAGAAGAATTTAGCTTTGTACCAAATAATATCTATGTATGTTTTATATTAGTGTTTAGTGTAAGAAAAACATGTGATAGTTGTTAATAAATAAACGTTGTAGTTACTTGAATTTTCAAGCTTATTTCGAATTGTGATGAACGTTTGCTGAAGATGCAATACGACCTGGTTAGGTTAGCTTTAATGGCTAGCTTTAATCCAAACCGCTAGGTAGAACAGTCCTTGCCATTTCTGCCGTATGTCACAAGCTCCATTTTGAAGGATGATAAAGTCGTGATAAAATACAGTTGGAACTTAGATCCAATGGTGAGCAGCGGCACCTTTGTGATCTCTAGACTCCGCACACTACTGAACACCATTCATTAGCTACCCATCCATGTAACAATAAATATTGGGATAGTAAAAATAGTTTTATTAAATTATATCAGAGGATCTAGCACTAGTGACATTAAAATTGCTATCACTTTACTGGTAGTAGGACCTCATATGAGTACGCACGGGTAGGTACCACCACCCCGCCTATTTCTGCCGTGAAGCAGTAATGCGTTTCGGTTTGAAGGGTGGGGTAGCCGTTGTAACTATACTGAGAACCTTAGAACTTATATTTCAAGGTGGGTGGCGCATTTACGTTGTAGATGTCTATGGGCTCCAGTAACCACTTATTACTAGGTCGGCTGTGAGCTCGTCCAAACAACTATGCAATAATAAAAAAACTGATGCACTTAATTCAAATTAATTTAACTATTTAACGACTATTTCATATCCCGTTTTTCTCATTGTCGCTATATCGTTGTCACTAAACATTATGGTACATATTATTCGTCAACATTTGAATACATATTTCGTAAAATATTGAACGCGACATAAGCAGAATGATAGTATGGGCCGGCATCAACATCCTGCCACTTTAAATTTCCACTAAGAAAGATAAACTTCATTATTTTATAGAAACCAATACCACAGTATTTACTTATTCAGTAGGTGCTGTTAGTAAATGTATAAAATGCTATCCCTCACGGCTCGACTTAACTTTGTTTTTAAGCTATTGCATAGCTTCTATCACGGGCCTTGAGCGCGGCGACTGAATCAAGAAATTCCGTAACGAAAATAACCTGACACCCCCACTACGCCTACTATGTAGCTCGCGTTCAACACATTCACACGTTGTGCTGGTGTAGTGTTTGTGAATAAGCGCGCGGCGTGATGTCGCACTGCATGAGCATCATGAAAAGTCTGCCCATCTCTCATCTCACGCGGTCTAGCTTATGGGTGTGAAGGGGACAGTTAATGTTTTGCTTTTGTTAATGTTTATAAATATAGCGTGGTCTTATTTTTATTATTGTTTTAATGTTTAATTATTATTGTCTAACTGTAATTGCATAAGTTGATAAAAAATGCTTTGCAATAGGTTTATCGCGGCAGTCCCCGAGTGCCATTTTTTTTTCTTTCGGATTTTAACCGCTCCTTAAACGACTATAACTTAGTTAAATGAGTTTGCAGTTATTTGTCACGCAGACTTAGACGTAATGTAACAAAGAACACAACTCAAATCGCCATTCGAGATCGGACACCCAAATAAACTTGATTGGTTCGTGTTTTTCTCATATAAATACGTCCCCAGTGTCGGATAATCACAGTAACTCAATTAACGTCCTTCAGTCGATGCTAGCTAGTCTCTGTGCTCATAAATTGACAAACTGTCCAACTGTTCTGAACAAGCTGGAATAAGTTTCTGCTTCCGGTCAGTGCGCGAAACATATGGTGCATACGGGCTGAGATTGTGTAGCGCCCGCGGCATATTTACGAAAGAAAAACAATAACGCTAAGCAGATTTAGGGGCATGTTTTGATGCCAACGCCTGGTCTTAATGAAGCAATTTTTTTTATTTTCTAAAAGATATATAAATTGAGATTTTGGACAGTCGTTGTTTTAATGCGACTCTCATGTCTCAAGATCGGCGATGACACTCATATTATAAAATGTATGCGTCTATTCTATGGCGGTTTAGCAATAATGAAAAACATTTTCTCTTATGTGCTGCTTCATCTTTTTTTTTATTGCTTAGATGGGTGGACGAGCTCACAGCCCACCTGGTGTTAAGTGGTGACTGGAACCCCTAGACATCTACAACGTAAATGCGCCACCCACCTTGAGATATAAGTTCTAAGGTCTCAAGTATAGTTACAACGGCTGCCCCACCCTTCAAACCGAAACGCATTACTGCTTCACGGCAGAAATAGGCAGGGTGGTGGTACCCACCTGCGCGGACTCACAAGAGGTCCTACCACCAGTAATTGTCATTGACTTGTTTTTGTTTCAATAAACTTGAGAAATCAAAGTTTCAAAGCTTTATTCTGACACCGGAAACGCGCTCATAGGCTGGTGTCATCAGTGCTTTTGATGCGATAGACTGCAGCTTCTAGTATTTGCCATTTATTTCAAACCAAACTGTATGTAGCACGTATAAAGTGAGACAAGTATCAGCCAAATAAAAACAATTTTATTGCTGTATTGAAGAAACGGACATGTCTTGATTTTCTTGTTCTGCGCCCTTTTTCTGTATAAATGGGGGAATGACCTCACAGTTCATTCCCATCCATCATGAATGTTTATCGGAATGCTTACACATAACAGTGCAAATTGCTACAAGATGTTAACCTTGAGAAATGAGGTCGAAATAACCATTCTATTAAGTAATGACTGTCCTACTCTTCAATTCGACCAGAATTATACCTTCTATCCCTATATCGAATAGAATTATACCTTGTGGCAAAACTATTGTCGTACATACCTTGCTTTGAATATGTTTAACACCAATAAGTCATGTAATTAAATAGCGTTTTCCCTCACTGTCCTTACTGAAAAATATTATGCCAGTAAAATTACTTACGGGGAATAATAAAACAAAACAGCTCGATTTTCTCGAATTTTTGTTGCTTAGTTGAACGAGCTCACGGCCCACCTGGTGTTAAGTGGTTATCGGAGCCCATATAGACATCTACAACGTAAATGCCGCCACTTCCCTTGTGATATGAGTTCTTACGTCTCCATTTTTAAAAGTACAACGGCTGCCCCAACCTCCCAACCGAAACGCATTATTACTTCATGGCAGAAATAGGCAGGGTGGTGGTACCTATGTGTGCGGACTCACAAGACGTCCTACCACCAGTATATCGATTGATCATTGTATGTAAATAGAAAGTTCTAGGTGTCGAAGTGAATCAAACTCCGCGTTCTGCTTTCGTATAGAAGCCCGTGTGTTTACAGGAAGCCGTCCGTAGCTAGTATTCGTGATTTAGCGTACAACTTGGCCGGTGTCCTGTGAGGGCCGCGGACTCTGTTTGTGTAATGAACCATGAATTGTAGTGCGATGTCCACTGTACAGGTAATTAACTAATGGCGCTGTTTTCAAACTTAGTACTAATAAACTGTCTATATAATAAAGTACTCTTTTAGGAGTATTTTATAAATGTCTTCAATCTTAATTAAAACTGGTATTTCTGTACCGTTTTTAATTTTTTTTACGAAAGAGATATTAGTTCTGGCCCGGAGGCCGCTCCAGTTTCACCAAGACAGGTGGGCGAGCAGAGGCTCAGCTAGGAGGGGTGGGATTTGCTAACAGCTGCCCGAGCGCCTTCAAAGGAGACCTAACAACTCAAGGGCAGCTGCTTCGCGAATAAATCAACTACCGGATCGGAATCGCGACCCGCTGAGAAAATCCGGCAAGAAACTCAGCGGGCTGATGTTTAGGTTAAGTTGCATGCCCAACTCTTTGCCGAGTTCGACGAGTACGGCTACCGGTACTCCCTACTCCAAGTGTTAGAGCTGAAGGCATCTAATGCAAGGGTTATTGGATCATCTGTACCGTAAAACGTGGCAAGGGTAGGCCTCCTTTTCATAATTCATGTGAATGTAAGGATTACGATGAGCTACAGTTGCATTGGAGCTGCTGGATCATCAAAGACGTCATCGCTTATAAACAATACATACACCTTTCTTGTTTCAAGCATTCCACGTGATTCTATTCGTCAACAAGAAAAAATACACAATATAGTACAACAGATGCGGATATTAAACACTAGTATAGGAATGCGAAAAAGCCACCAAACAAATTAATAGATTTAAATATTTTATTAATAATAACACAGGAGAAACTGTTGTGATGGTACTATTTCCTATTGCTCGATGAGTGAAAGAACCTATAAACATCACAAGGACATGGTAGAATATCTAGGGAGTCCGCATGGGTAGGTACCAACACCCTACCTAATTCTGTCGTGATGCAGTAATGCGTTTCGGTTTGAAGGGTGGGACAGCCACTTTACTGTAAAATCTGAGACTTAGAACTCATCTTTCAAGGTGGGCATTTACGTTTTTGATGGGATGGATGATCTTTGGGCTCCGGTAGCCCCTTAACACCAGGTGAACGGTGAGCTCGTCCATTTATATAAAAAATCGTGTAAAATGCTTAGCTTAAATTATATGAATTCAATTTAATACACACGCCAAAACTGTGTTGCCAATGCATACATCGGCAACTTAACTGTGTCGTTTCGCAGTTAGCTGCATGGAACGGGACTAATTACATAACTATGGAACTAAGAGGACATTACAGGCATTATTAATAAATATGGTATAACCTGACTGAACAGAGAGAGCTCGTTTTGTCTCTTTCACTGGTATTTAAAGCTAAAATGCGGATAGTAATCTGTGCAATGAAAACAATGAATTTTGTTGTATGAAGGCTATCAGACAATTCGATAGGAGAAACAAGTCGATAAAAGAATTTAGTT